TCTCTTTGAGGAATTTTGTGTTTTTTACAAAGCTTAAAGGTGCTTTAACTAAAAGAACTTGAATGGACCAAGTTCTCACATTTCTCTTGTTTTCTGCTTTTCTTGTCTTTATCTGTCAGCATAATTAAAAACCAGCTCCTTTTCTGAAAAGTTCTCTGTACCTCATGTAGATCCTGGAGCATATGATGTTGATCCAAGGTGAATAATGAGGTCCAAGCTTGAGATACAGTGCAAAGGTTTTGGAGGGCAGAACTATTTCATGTAGTGAGCAAGCTCCTTGTATTTACAGAAGTGACTTTAAATTTATTTTTAGCTGCCAGCTACAGTCTGAATCCAGAAGGATGGTGCAAAATGTTAACAGCAAAATACAGTGAATGAGATTGTAGTGGTGATTTGTTCTTTGTGCAGTATGTTATCACTGCTACTCTCTGTGCTCTGGTCCAAAACGAAGCCCTGCACTGCAGCAGAAAATGAGCATTCAGCACAACAGAACCTGCGAGGTGACCGGCTCTGTACTAGAGAATGCATGAAATTTTGGGCTGTGTTACAGGCATGTTCAGTGATCTAGAAACTTCTTTTCCTGCACAGATCCTTTAAAGTGTTTATCTTTGTAAACGTTGTTTTCCAGAATAGCTCATTGCTGTGTTTATCCTAGTACCTAGATCCTCTGAGTGTGTCCCTCTAATGTAGCACCAGTTGGGAGAGGGAGTGCTACTATAGGTAAAAAAAAAAAAAAGTATTAATTTTCTGCCTCAGTGATTTTCAGGCTTTTTTGGTTTGTAGCTATTTCTGTATTTTTCCAACTGAACTTGCTTTTCCTAGGCACTTTTTGTGGGTAGAAATGTAGTAGGTGTACCCACAGACCACTGTTTGCAAAGCTCTTTACTGGAGAGTGGAAATGACATGGGTCTAATTTATTTGTCTTATAATTATGTAAACGGGAGGCGATATAGCTTGGTGCAAAAATTGGAAGATGGATAAGGAACAGGACAAAGAAGAAATGTGGAAAATAGGAGTATTGGTCTGGAAGGAGAGTCCACGAAAAGGTCAGCTAAATGCTGAGCATCAGCCTAAAAGTAAATCAGATGCTAGGATTCATTAGGAAAGGAGTAGGGAATAAAAGAGAGGACATTGTTGTGCCTCTCTGTATATCCAGGCTTTGCCCACGTCTTGAACGTGAGTGTAGTTCTGGTCCCTGGAGGAGACTGGAAAAGAAAAGACTTCCTGGAAAAGATTCAAAGGAACACAGTAATCAAAGATGTGATACAACTTTTATTGAAGATTACTGTGTAAGCTACGACTCTTCAATCTGGAAAAGAGAAGGCTGATATCAAATTTGATTGAGATTACAAAATCTGTGACACAGAGGGGTTAAAATAAGGTTGACACCCCCCCTCCCCTGCCAATAGAGGTGCTAGGGTACATTAATAGGCCCAGTTCAGAAGAAACAGAAAGAGGATGCTCTTTGCACAGTGAGCAGTAGATGTGTCAAACTGCTTTCTAAAGGATGTGTGGCTCCTAAAAGCTTATCTAGCCTTGAGAGGAGGTTGGCCAAACTTGTGGAAGATAAATTAATTGAAGGTTACCAAGTAGAATCTGAGAAACCACATTCCTGGAAATGTTCAAGGTCTGATTGCATGGCGCTCTGAGCAACCTGATCCAGTTGAAGAAATCCCTGCGCATTGCGGGGGGGTAGGCCAGATGGCCTTTAAAGGTCCTTTCCAACCCAAACGATTCTATGATCTGTCTCAGAAAGTCACCAAGTTGAAAATAGTTCGATGCTGTGAGAGTTTTGATGGGAAGTATTCTGTGTTTGCCTTGTTCTTATTCATCTTGAGACATCTGCTCATGGCCACAGTTGGGACAGGATACCAAGCCTTTGTTCTGACCTAGTATGGCTGTTCTTATGTTTCTTAGAAGTTGGTTTTGAGAATTATGTTAGTGTTTTGCTAAAGACCTTAACAGAAAAAGGAGAAGCCTAATAAGCAATTTTCTGATGAGAAGAGTAATGTACCAGGTATTCACAAGGATGTCTGTGAGCAAACGGTGTGATATACACCAATAATAAAGGCACAAATGGTCCTAGAAAGCATAAAGTAATTCAAATAGAGCTGGGAAGCATTCGTGTAATTAAACTTATTCCAAAATAATGTGTACTGCTCTAGTTGTCTTGTATTCACATGCAGAAGGAACTAATAGGCCAGTTATAGAAACTGTATGTAATGGAATATAGAACTGTAGCATGTAATCTCCTCATAAATTTGAGCTATGTAGGATAACTTATTTTTTTGAAAGATCTGTGTAGCTGAGTTTCTGATCTAAGCTTCAAACTTAGTGTAGCTTTGCAGTATCATAGTTTCACAAAAAGCATGGGCTTTAGATAGATTAAATGAGGGGATGCCATTGCTATATATAAACGTATTGTGGACAAAAGGCCAGCAAGGGAAAAGAACTAATAAAGCTAAAGAACAGCATTGGCTCAAGAGCAGGTATGTATAAACTGGCCATATGTGAGTTTAGGCAGAAAACGGGGGGAGTCTTTCTGGCCATTTGAGCAGCAGAGTTTTGGAGCAGTCCTTCAAGAAATGTAATGGGGTTGGAAACAGTAAAACTTGTAGAGGGGAAAAAAAGGATGAAGATGCTCTCAATAGTTAAATTAAGCTTGTAGGAGAAGCCCAGGAAAGGGGTGCAGAGCTCTATCTGTTCCTTGGAGTTGCTCAAGGCCCCCAACTGCTCCCTGTATCGTGCTGTGAGGCTGTGCTGGTCTGTGTTGTCTCAGACAGATTTTTTATTGTTACTTAGCCTTTTGGTGTTCCTGTCACTTCCTGGCTATGGCCTTTCTACTTCTTCAGTTAGTAATTTGGATCTCATCCATCCTTCTGTTTTCTGATCATTGCCATCTTGTGAGATGCAAACACTTGCTGTTTAGCCAAAAAAAGAAAAAGGTAAGGTATAATGCAGATTTTGCGGTATTGTTTGCGAGACCAGAAAACAGAAAAGGGGACAGCCGTTAACAGCTTGAACAAATTGTTTGTAGCGGTTCTTAACCAGATAAATATGTTAAACCTTTCCCAGTTTTGTCTTATGTTCTGTTCTCCAAGCTGTTTATTAACAAAACTAGCAGTGATGATGACAGTCTGGTTTTGCACGAAGCTGTGTGTGAAAGTATCTTTAAAAAGAATTACCCCTGGTAAAATGCCACTACATATATTTTGATGTCTCAAAGTTTTTTTTTATTTTGTTGAAACTTTACAGCCCTATGTCACCATCAACCAAGAAATTCCCGTGCTAGTACATTGATTTCATCCAGGCTTTGTAAGAAAGGTAAATAATATTTCTGTTGTAGAGATGGAGTAACTGAGGTACCTAATTGAATCTGTTGGAAGTCTTGCAGTAAAGTTGTCCTAATTCATATTTTACTTGCATCCGTATAGTGCTCAGCATCCACAAACAACCCACAACCCAGTCAGGGCACCAAAAGAAGTTGTACTTGTTCTCTGAACGAAATAGGGCACTTTTTTTTTTTTTTTTTTTGATCTGGAGTGAGGGTAAAAGGTGTTTTACTTGTATGTGTTTAGTATGTAATCTCTTCATAAATTTATGAGCATATTTTTGTTTTTTTGGAAGGTCTGTGTAGCTGAGTTTCTAATGTGAGCTTTAAACTTAGTGTAGCTTTGCAGTATCACAGGGAAATGGCCAGGATTTGGAAGGTAAGTTTAAACCCACACTAATTCTGGTAGGGATTTGTTTTTCTCAAGTACCAGCTTTCCCCTCTGTTGAATGGACGAGCCCTCACACATGGGCAGGGACAGATACTGCTCTACTAAGACAGGTTACAGGGCTGAAGAAGAGGAGATTTGTGCATTTGAAGTCAGCGTGGTTGTTATGTCAATGGGTTTCTGTAAAAGATATTTCCAGTTGGAATATAGTGACTTGTATTACTTACGTCCATCCCTCACAAGAGGTAAGAAATTAAAAAAGCAAAACCCAAACAACAGCAACCCAAGGCAAGATGAGGACTGTACTATATAGGAGTGTAGAAGTAGCAGGGAACGAGCTAACTAAGCAGCACCCAGGAAAGAAACCATCCAGTGCTCTTTGTAGAGCACAATGTGATGGTTAACCTCGATGGATTCGGAGGAGTTGGAGCAAGTCTGGGACAAGGGCTGCTGGGCAGTGATGTGAAGATGCTAAGCACTGTCCATTCACAGGACAAGCGTTGCGCAAATGCTCCTTGCTGTATTAAAATAAGATAGGAAACCAGAGGTGTTTTTTCAGTGCTTAAATTCCAAACACTTTTGTGTCTTTGAAATCAATTTATATATTTTATGAGTGATGTATAGGTGTAAACATACAGCTGATCTGCACTTGACCTCTTAACTTGATTGCTTTTCCAATCGTAAACTGATAGTTTCATTCAGAAGCTTTTTGGAATCAGTGGAATATTCATACTCCACAGACAGAATAAATACATGTTCTTTAGCATTCTGTAAGTCATGATTAGCTTGAGTCATGATTATCGTGGCTATATATAATGTGTGCTGAGTATCGTGGTTGATTTATTCTTACTGGTACGTTTGGTGTATTTGAAAATCTCCACTATGTAGAGCTTTTAAAGGAGTGTACTTAGGCCCTCTGCTGATCTTTCTGAGAATAGGAAAGAGGAGAAACTGCCCTGCAATATTAAGAGTGCTGGCCAAACGGTCATCCTGGAAAAGGGAAGATCAAGTCAGAAGAGAATAGAACTAAAAACTGTTCTGTGTAAACATGGTCATGTCCTAGTGTTATTTTTAGATAAAAAAACCACCCAAACCCAAAATAATAGTTGCAGTAAAGACAAGTTACCCTGTTTTGAGATGATATAAAGTAAAATCCATTAGAAGATCAAGTGTATCCATAACAATAGAACTTGTCATTTTGAGTTCACTGCTCTTTAGCTCTCTTCCTTTTTCACTACTTCTTTTCTTTTCTTGTTTTTCCTCTTAATTTTATTTCCTTAGATCTAACTGGCTAAAACCGTGCTGTGGGAGACGAGCAGCTGTGTGGCAGGTATTTTTGCTCAGTGCAAGTCTCAACAGTTTCCTGGTAGCCTGTGTAGTATTGGTGGTGATTCTTCTGACTCTGGAACTCCTAATAGATATAAAGCTTCTCCAGTGTGAGTAGGAGGATTTTTTTTTTTTTTTTTTTGGCAATTTTGATGAAATTAACTTTCTGGGAGGTTTTTGAAGGTGGGAGGATGGTGGGGATTTTTTTTCCTACCATTTAAATGATTACTAGGCTAGGTAAGAAATGTGTTTTTGTGGAATCCTGGTACAGTGAAGTCAGTCTCTTCCTTATTTTGCTGACCAAATTAAGTATAAGACAAATTTTCAACGGACGAAAGCAGAGTGTACATGCAGAGATTCACACACATTGTCATTAGCACTTAAAAAGGTCTCTCCTTTATGGATTAATTTACTTCTACTGAGGTGGGTAGGAATTGAAATTATGGTTTTCTACCTTGTAAATGCACTGAAATTATACAGATTTTTGTTCTACTTTGCTAATACACTGGGAGCCAAGTAATAGCTTAAGTGGAGTTCTGCTTTATCTGAATTCACTCTACGCAGGTTCCACAATGGAAATTCTCATGCTTTTGTTTTGCTTCCTAAGTCATCTTTTTTTCCTTACTACTGTTTTCTTCCATTCCTTTTTTTTTTCTTTTATGATACAAAGATGACATGAACATAAATACCAGCTACATTTTTCCCTATGCTAAATGTTGAAGAGCAGCCTCTAGCACCTCCATCCAATCTCAGATATGTTGAAGTGGCAGTAATGGGGTTCAGACAGTCCCATAAATGGAAGAATACACAGCATGGAAGAGTCACGGCCTAGTATCTTCTATGACAACTTTTAAACTGAGCAAACAAACTTTTTATTAAGGTCGTTTTAATTTTGTTGATTTGTCAATTGATGTTAGTGGAGTTGGATTTCACTGTAAAGATTTAGGTGTTGCAGCTGTGTCAAGATTACTTGAGGGGACTTTATTGATAATTGCAGCAATTTTATAAACCCTGTAAGATGAATAAATGACTACAATGTCTTTCCACGCCATTGGCCACCATTTATACTCCTGTCTGTCCATCCTGCACACACTGTTCTGGACATGACCACCCTGTTACAGTTGTTATTTTCTGTAGTCTCTGGAATTTGTACAAGTCTGTTGCTTTTAAAAAAAAAAAAAGTCTGGAGTGCTAATTATGGGTGCAAGTCCTTAAAAACTGCATGAGGAAGAAGCTTTCAATGATATTTATTGAGGTGCCACATCTTTCTGTTTATGTAGAGGATTATCATTTCCTGTAGAGCCAATGAGTTTAAAAACTGTTTCTGTTGATTTCTCTTAGATTTTTAACTCAGTTTTGGAGTCTGTCCTCTGGAAACACCTGCTTTCTTACCATTTATTTTCTGAAGAATCTTTTAAAGAAGGCTTTATTTTAGGGATCATTCCTCCGCTCTCTCTCTAGTGCATATGATACTCTTAAAAGCTCTGCAGCTTACACCTTGTGCATGACCCAAACACCTCAATGTGTTCGGTCGAGCCAAGTGATGTCACAGTGCAGAGGCTGGCCCTGCCTGTATGGATTTTCTCAGCACCTGAGGAGGGACCCATTCTGCTCTGAGTTGCTATTTTGCATTTTAACTACTGCATCAACCCAACCCATCAGGCTTCTTGCCTTTTAAGTTGAATACCTTCTATTTTGTTTTAAATCATATAAATGCTGCCTTGGTGGGGCTGATGTAAGTATTGCAGTTGCATCATATGAGGAATGTGTGTCATTTACCTTAAGGTTTTAAAAAGCTATTAGACCATAAATACGTTTTTCAAAAAGGTAATTACAGTTTTAAATGATTCCTCATTTTATATGGAATCAATCAATGCGTTAGGATATGTTACAGCACATCACTGCCAATTTTGTTTATAACAACGGCTGCTAATCCGTATTATGGACTGCAATTATTTAGGAAGCCTCTTTTTTTTTTTTTTTTTTTTTTTAATGGTGTTTTCTTTGGCTGTGACATTTTGGGAGCATCATTTTCCTCTCATACTTTTAGTGCTGTCTTTGGTTGTACTGTGCACTTCTCCCATACACAAAACTCTCAGTGGTAGGTCACACACATGAAAAGGACAGAGACCTTTTAGGGTGTTCTAGTACAAAGCCTATTTGTGCCAGAATTAGAAACCCTAGGAAGCAGGGGACACATAACAGAACTTTTATTATAGGTCTCATTCCTATAATCAGCTTTTTAAATCCTATTTTCAAAGCTCTTCATATGCTTTAACAAAATACCGTCTCAATACCTTGTAGTGTTTGGCCAATGCAGAAATAGTTGTATGTTGTCACTTGCACCTCATTTCAAAAACAAAGGGTCATGGGAGGTTCCAACACCCGTTCCTCAGAAATACAGACCATGATGGTCCTTCCTTGTCTTCAGTAGTTTTGGGGGAAGGCAACTCAGAAAATCATTAGTATTGCCCACCTTCTACAATCAACTGCAGCACGTGTGTTGGTGAAAGGCCCCAGGCCTCCTGAGAGCTGCGAGGCTGACACGCTCCTGTCTGTTTGGCTGCTGGATCACGTGCGTAGCTGTGCACAGAAGATGCATGTTGTGGTGCAGCCTACGTAAGAATGGGTTCAGGGCTTGCCCAAACTGTACATGAGCATCTGCTGTCTGCCCCTTGAAGAAGCAGTATTGTTCGTATCTGCCAGGAAATTGTCATCAAGAACAACATCTACCCAAAAAGCAAGTGCTGGTGGTACAAGCTTCGCCACTGGGGCACTGTCATCCCTCCCCTCCTGGATACACATTTTGAGGAGATGGGAGAGGGAAGCAAAAGGGGAGGAACAGTCTGAGGTTTGCTGTACTCCACATTTTATACTGAACCATGACTGAAAAGCATCCTGGATTTGCATTCACTTCTTCCCCGTAGCACCAGACAAGCAAAACGTGAAATAAAGCAGAACTTTTTGGATTTTAGCTACAATTTTGGGAAAGAGCGTTTACAAGTAAAACATGAAATTCTGTTCCAGATAAAAGTAGAAGCTGGCTAGCTTAGGTGCTTTGCCTCGCACTGAGGAACCCCCACAGAGCAGGGATGAGCACCTCTCGGAGAAGACCCTTCTCCCATTTTTGTAGCTTTTCACTGTGTTTTTAAATAGGAGCGTTTTGGAAGAGGCAAATATCCAGGCTGGAGTGTACAGGCTAGTGATTCAGCTCTTGTACAAAAGCTTACTTGGAAGACTTTTTCAAATTTACTCTTTATTGGTAATTTGATTGCACACTGTCTGGCAGCATGTCCAGCACTGCTACAGTGAGTGCAGCATCAGAGATTTCTTTCCAAATTCGTGGTTGCTATATCTTTTTTGTCCACTAAGGGGCAGCTGGAGCCTTGTATGTCAATTGACAGAAAAATAGCTTATGAATGGTTCCCCTTTCTGGTTCTTTATGCCAGCCTCTTGGGAAAGTTACCTATATTATATTTTGCCTACTTGTTTCATCTGTAAGTAGTTCCTCTGCTGCAGCACAGCAAACTCTCTTATCGAGCCCCAGCCTCACCTGTGGCAGTTCCAGTGGCAGCCCACGCGAACAGTTTTCTTTGTATTCTGATTTCTTCCTACAGCCCTTCCCTCTCTTTCCCATTTTAATAATTTTTAATTTTGAAATGAGATGCCTTATTTAGTACGTGTCCTATGTGTTCTTGAGACAGTAGATTCTGCCAGTCTTGCATCTCTCCGCACACAGTCATTGATTGCCTTAAACTTTGCTGTTACACAGAAATTCTTTGAAGCTGCAAGACTGCACAGACTGTTTTAATCTGTCTGCTGTAGAGATTGTAGACTCACAAAAACCCTGAAGAGAGAATTTTTTCTCTTCATTCCCTTATTCCAAACTTGAGAGCATGTGACCTTCAGAGTAGGAGTTGCCAGCAGTTCAGATACTGGACCCTTTCAGCTTTCTGCTTGGTTGTTTCAGCAATGAAGGGAACTTTGATCACAGAATTTCAGTTTAACTTAATAAGTAAGGAACCCTCCAGATTTCAATACGTTAATTTAAGCCCATAAAAGGAACCCATATCGTAGGGCTTCTTGTGTAGTCTTGCAGCAAACTCATTTGTCTGAGTTTATTTCATTTTACTTACAAGCAAAATAAGTTGAATCAAATGAAAGCCTGATTTAATGCCAGTGAGTGTCCACGCAAGGCTCTAGTACTCTGTAAAATCTTAGTTTTAGTGAATTCAGATAAATTTTCCTGAGTGTTCCTGCCAGGGAGTTCCTGAAAGAACTTTTGTTCAAAGTCATTCTACTTTGAAAGTAGAGTAACTTCCTCAACCGTCTGCATGCATGAGGAGTACCCATATGGGAAGCTAGTATGTAAAATCCAGAGTTTTATAAATTACCATTTTAACTTGCCCTTTACAGACTTCTTTTCATGGAGCAGTTTGAAATAAAGCGAACATAAGCGATTTTAATGGTCACTGTCTTTCTGAAAAAGAGTGCTTACAAAGGAAATTGTGTGTTTTAACCAATTACTGAACCTGGAATTTTATTTCATTTATAGTAACTTTCTTGAGTGTTCTCATAGAAACTGGCTGAAAGACAAAGCTGTTTGTGTGACAGCCACGTTTCCTGAAATACACTATACAAAAAGTCACCTTATGTTTGTTCTACAAATTAGAATTTCTGGTATTTCACAAACTCCTGAAAATAAATATATTAAGATTTGATCTTGTTAACAATGGCATTGGTTCTTCCTATTGCTTCTCTCACTATGGTTTTTCTAGGGTCAAACTTGACTCTGAGGGGAATGGGTGAGCCAGTCATGGCTGTTCATGCCATGTCCAGAGCGCTATACAAGTCTATTTACCCAGTTATTTATTTAGATGATAGGAATGTATTTTGAAGTCCAAATTGAGCACTAGTTTTTAAGCACCTCTTCCAGACAATTACCAGTCTTCTGAGCTGAATTGTCAAAGACCTAATATAAGGAATAACGTGGGAATAGTAGAGCATTCTGTTTTCTTACAGAATTCTAACTCTGCATTTTTAGGCATGCAGGATTTAATCACACATCTCATACTAAAGCAGTGCATGGAGTGAGAGCACAGAGCAGTGACAGTGCATCAAAGACCTAAAATGTGTATATCGTTGCTTACCAGCAGTCTTATCTGTGCAAGCCCCAACGAGGAGCTGCTGCAGCTGCTCATGTGCTAGCCTGAATGAGGGTGAGCAGCCTCCAGGGCTGGAGTTGCATGCCCCGTTACATCCCATCCCCTTTCTGGTACTTCCATTACAAAATTGAAGACAGATAGCTTCACCCATATATAAACTGGAGCAGTACTAATTATATTAAACATAGGCTGCATTCTGCTACTATAATGACGCTTCATTGTATTGTGTTATTTGCAGTTTCAAGTGCTTCACAGTTTGCAGGAATAATTCACTGGATCAGCCTAGTCATCCTGTCTGTTTTCTTTTCAGAGGTATGTATAATCCAAGTCTTTCACCACATACAGAACTGCAAAGTATTTTTATGCTGTCACTGGAATTAGCAAATGTCTAACAGTAATGTGACTGTGTAAATGTAGCACAGTGTACTTTAAGGAAAAAAAAAGTTAACAGTTGCTACTCAGCAAGCTAAAAAAAAAAATCTTGTTTATGTTAGTGCTGTTTGTCAGTTGCCTTGAATTGTCAAGGAAACATGGAAGATACTGTCTTACAAAATAGAATTGGAAAACTACAAAAAGAAATAATCATCTTCAAATCATCAGGCACGGGACAGGACTACTCTCATCCATTTGTTCTCACAGAAATCTTATCGGTGTCACTGGGTATAAGTATAGGAATAAGACGTATTATTTAGGAATAAAGATCCACAGGTTTTTTTTACAAAAAGATCTGTTTTAAGAATGGAATTATCTCCTCTCACGATTTATGTAGGTAGTTTAGATGTCCTAGGTTGCTGCATATAAGCACAGGAAGAGAATGAAACAGATGGTGAATTTCTTTGCAAAAATTTCTTTGAATGGATGAATTGGAAAAGGCTGTAGTCATGATATAACAAATGACCAAATTGGATTAATCTGTTACAATTTCCAACTTTATTCTAAAAAGAAGCCATTGGTATTGAGATATTTAGACTGCTCCTGAAATATCTCAAAATATTTTTAAGACTATTTTTCCACATCATAATGTGCTACTTGTCACAAAAAACCCAACATTTTATGTTTGTTAAATTGGAAGACAGCTTGGACTTAAATATTATTTTAAAATTTTTTTTCTAGTTCTATAGGAGAAAATATTATAATCCAGACAAATGTTAAAGTCTTCACTCTGTGGTAAATTTAGGTGAAGGTTACCAAAAAAAAAAATCAAAAACCAAGGAGCTGTGATACCTGCAAATAATTTGATAGATTGCTTGTGTTGAATTCATGCTCGCCGTATTATAACACTGCTTATTTCCATGGGTCTGTTAATCAAATACATTTATTTATGTATAACACTTCATATGTCTACTTTGTATTTCTACTCTTAACAGGCATTTTCTAGCTGGTATTGCCAGACTGCCAATGGGTACTTTCTGAAAGGATTCCTTGGTGACAGGCAGGGGGGGACAAGACAGGATCAGCTTGTCACTCTGCTGCTAGCAGCATGGCTGCATGTACACACTCACGTGATCTTCATCACTTTCTGGAGCTTGTTTCACAAAATACTTCTGTGCTCCTCAACTTCCATCTGCTGAGGTGTAGCCTCAAGTTCTGTTTTCATTCACTTGTACCACCAACCACTCTTCTCGAATCCTTCTGCAGTGCCTTGCTCCTGGATCCCCTCCGTAGCGCAGTTCATGCTGACAGTTTTTGGTTGGTTTGTTGTGGCAGTGCAGACCCTCAAGGCCAATGTTCATCTCTCTCAAGGAAGAAATTAGTTGTTTCAGTTTTGCTGAGACAGAGTACCCACAGAAGTGGATGAATTGGTTCAGAAGTGTTTTTGCAGCAAAACAATGACAGAAATACTTGACAGGGACAAAACTGGTCGCCTGGCTCACCATCCTCATTTTGGATCTGCATTGGCTTTTCTCTTTCTCTCTGTATTAGGTATTTGGAACTGCTTTTCTTTGTCTAGTTGCTGTTCCCATTTTTAATAGACCTCTTAACACTTGCTTTATTATTTTTCTGTCTCCCAAAATACCTTCCTTCACCTGTTTGATTATGGTTTGAATTTACACCAAAGAAAAATGAAGCTGGCCACAAGGCAGCTGCGTAAGGTGCACAGAGGAGGGTAGATTTTTCTGGATATTGGCTCATTTGGCAACTCAGAGTCCTTGACTGGGTAAAAGCAACTGAGGTGGCTCTGCAGAGCTGCTGGATGTGCTTCAAAGATCACAGGTCTGGAAGGGAATGAAGGTGTACCTTTCCTACTGGGTTTGGTGGGGTTGGCCTTGTGCTGGGTTGGTTTAACGAGCAACAGCACATCTGTTTGTCTTGAAGTGCATCTCATCAGAGAAAGAACAGAGGGTTTCATTTTTTTCTCATCCAAATCAGAAACTTTGTTTTTTCAAGAGGTTATGAAATATTGCAAAAATTGCAGATCACAGGAATTTTTTTTCATTCATCCTAGTTTTATTTACCCTTTTGGTGCCTTCAGGGGATTTTTTTTTTCCTTCTGATTCCCAGTACCATGAGTCAGCTTTCTTTGTTTGGAATTATTTGTTGAGATGATTGTATGTTATAGTGAGATTTTGCAGTCTGTGACTGTTGATGCCAGTTGATTTCCAGAGATGAGCAGCTTTAATTAGTTCACTTGGATGTAACAGGCAACTGCTGAGGACTGATTAGTCATTCAGTCAGTGTCTTTTTCCTCAAAGCAAGGATTCAGGGTTTCTGGGTGTTCAGAAAGGGTTGTTTCCATAACAAGTACCATGTCCTGAGTTTGGGAGTTTATTCTGTAGTTTGGTTCCCATTAGTTGTAAGTGTGGATACATAATCCTTCAGAAAGGCATCAACTTAGCCATAGAGAACAAATAATACAAAGTTGTAAAAGACTTGTTAAAAATCAGAAAACTTTCAGCATGAAATATGAGTGTTTTGGAAAAATATGACCAATTAAAAGCTGGTGCTGTAAAGGCATTGCAAGTCATTACAGTCCTATCGTGTTGGAGTTAAACAGGCACTGGCTTTCTGCTTGGTTAAAAGGAAGGGGACAAACATGCCAGCAGCTGGCAAATACCAGCAGAACAGCTGCCAACAAAATTAAGTAGCTACTCTCACAGTGTATTCCTGCTCTCTACACTTCTGTTATAGCCACAAGCCCTGAAGGAATTTATTGTGCTCTGTCGATTTTATATTCTCTGTCACTGTCTGTGACTTTCCAACATTAAAATACCCTTATTCAAGTCAAGTGCACATTGGCTCTTCTTGCTTGTTTCCAAGTATTTGAACAGGATTTACTAGTGGTGATGATTGTGTACGTTTGTCTCTGCTTACGTACATCACTAAGATTTGTCTGTGCACCGAATGTTACCCAGATGGTAAGACAGAAGAGAAGAGAAAGACACTGGGGGGGAAGCCCAGTACCAACAGCAAGGCAAGGCCGGGGTTACACCCTATCAAGAGGGCAAATTCAACCTTGGTAATAGTTGGCTGAGAAAAGGAAGATGGGGAATGTCCCAGTGTTTTGGTAAGTGGATTGGATTTTCGTAGCCTTATCACATTGCCTCAAATATGTGACTCTGTAGCTGTTGTTCTAAGCTGCTTTTCTAAGATTGATGAGTCTGCGTGCAAGAATTGAGTTTTGATATTAGTTGTTTGCATTGCTCTGTATGTGCTTCAGTCAGCCAAGCACTCAGGCATTCTGCTAGCTTTCAGCACTTGTTTCCCTGGGAGTAACCAAGTCTTATGATCTGCTTGAAGTTAGGCAGTCATGGAATTGTGACTTTTTTCCTCCATCTGTGTCCTAGAAACAAGTTCTCAAATTGAGTAAAGTCTGGGGTCCTAGCTCATAAAGAATTTGTTTCATTAGCTGTCGCTCACAAGTGCATTTTAGATTTCCGTTTCTAAGACTATGCCTGACTTACATAGTGTCTCCATCAGTACTTCATCTGTGCTTTCATCTCTTGATAGCGACAGTCTAGCACCTCCTACATGGTGCATTTCAAAGATAAGAATTAGCGCTAGGGTAATCATGCCTGGAGGGAACTTCTGATGCAGGGTTGCTTAAGACTATTTTTTTTCTCCAATCTGCATTTACCTTATAGTAGTATACTGCATCTCTAGTAAGACATTTCTGTTCCTGAAAAGCCTTTTCAAATCTATCCAGAGTTGTCAGTTTAAAATTGATTCTTTTTCTCTGTTTTGTAAGAAAAAAATATTGTGGGAGAACATAAGAAAAAAATATAACTGCAGTGTTTATGCAAAGGTGTGTTTGGATACTAGATATTATAATAGAGTGTAAGTGGTAGTCAGTGAAAAAGAATGTACTGTGTTCGTGTCTATTAGTGTCACCAGGCTTTTGCAGTTAATTATTTCTATGTGACCACATGTGCTAATAGAGTCACAGCAGTTACAGACGACAGTATGTGGGGAGTGTTTTGTACTGGGTAAAATGCGAGGTGAGGTCAGTAGTTAAGTGTTTCCTTTCAAGAGCCTTGGTTGAAGAGAAACCCGGTGAGGAGAATGCTTGTGCCCTGGATCCTGCGCCGGTGGCCTGGGGGGTAGTGTGCCCTACAGCAGCTAGTGCCTTGTCTCAGGACAGGTGCACCAGAAGATGGCAAAGGAAGATAATTTTAAGCCGTGAACGAGCTAAGGCTTCTGTGGAGTGACCCCCACCAGAGAGGTTATAAATTACAGATGGGGTACAAGGTGTTCTTTCTGGGAAAGATTTCAGTAAATATTTGGTTTTACGAGATGTCCAAAAGGCAGATGCTTCATCTTCAGAGTTTGTGTACAAGCTAGAGGTGAAGACCCTCTGTACCAGGTAGATGAGTTTTGTGGCAGTGGAAGGAAGGGCTCTTCTAGAGACACCCTTTCCACCCCACTCCATCCTGTTTCTTTTGTATAATCACTGCCCCATCTCCAAATGCAGAGCTGCTCTCCTTTGCTGTTAGCTAAGCCTTCACCTCCTGTGCTGCCTCCTTTTGGTTTCCTTACACTATGGATGAATTTGACATGGTGAGTCACTGAGGAGTAAATTGTATATTAACTGTGCAAGCAAAAAAGTATTTAAAATTACCTCACGTACATTGCAGTCAGCTGACAAACGCAGCTAGCTCATGCAGATTGTGGGAATTCACACAGCTGGCTCAGCAAAGGACTTGGCTGCATTCCCCTGCAAAATCAGACAGAAAACCTGCAGCATCACACATGTCTTCATGTCACTGCAGACAGTTAATGCTGTGCAAACAATTGTGTGTCGCCAAGGGACGCTGTCAACTTCAAAATTACATTTCTGTCTGAAAAATGGTTTAAAATTTTACTTTTATATGGGTTTACTCCAACTCAAAGAAGTTAACAGAAGTGTTCATTTATCTTTAGTTAGTGCACTGGACAGACTTTTATGTAATAATTTAGCTTTTCTCAGAAAACAAAAAATGTATTTCAGATATAACAAAAAAAAATATATGTTAAGGACTTTCTAATTAAAATATTTCCAGTCAAAAATGTTAAAGCATTCTTTTTCAAGTAAAAATATTTTTTTTCATTTTTTTTTTCAAGCTGGCAGTGGCCTTTAGCAGGAGAGTACTCACACTGGTATTTAATGTTTACATTGAAATCTCTGTGTCCAGAAGTGCAGAATGCCTGTAGTGTAATGCAAAACTGTGTGTGCATTTGCTACAGCACTGAGGAATGCCTGCACATCAGTAGGAAACAGCAGTGCTGCTCCTTTTTTTTCCCCCTTATTTCTTCTAGATTCTTGTGTCTACAAGTGGTAGTAGTGACTAACATTTATGTTTTGTCTGTGATGAATGTTACAGTTGCAATTCTCTTTTAATGCATATGCATCTTTCAGTTTGGTCCATGTACAATGAGTAGGAAGTTTCCTGGATTATTGATTTCTATATCTGTTTGATTCAGAGTCTGTTACAGGTTCTCAATTTTTTTAAGTTCTGTACAGAGAAAGTACACAATCAAATACAGTATGAATTAGTTTGAAAGCTATTGGTGATTGTTTAGGAAAAATACTAAAATGTTGTTTATAAGCAACATGGATGCTTTCATTTCAGTCAAAGTGTTTATTATATTGAACAACCAGGGAGATTTGTCCAGAGAAGTCCAAGTGTGCTTGGTTCAGACTCCTCTGGGTAAGAGTTAGGGCGGCAGCAGTGGATGAGATCTTGAGCTTTGTACAAACAGGGAGAATAGAGAAAGCTGAACCTGGTTTTGGAGTTGCCACTAGTGACAGCGGGCCAGCGGGCAGTAAGTGTAGGTGTCTCCAGATGCACACGGTCTGTGACTCGCTCATGGTAATTTCTTGGGGCGCCCAGTTTCCCCAGGGCACCAAGGAGGAGCTTTTGTCACTTCCCTGGTGATGTGGGTTTTTTTGTTGAGTGATAAGCTAGTGGGCAATGCTAGTGCTTAGCTTTCAGACCTCCATACAGAACAAATGGTTTTAAAGTTTAACCCTCAGTTGTGCCCAGTTTGTTCTGAAGAGTGTGTCTCTTGGGTGGGAAGCTGAGTTCATTCTGCCCTCAAACCCTCCCTCCCTATAGTGTGTCTGCTACAGCTGAGAGCAAAGATGCTCATCATCATCAAGGCATTTTCTGTGAGGAGGAGACCTATCTTCTAGAGGTAGCACCAACAACTATTACTGCATTAAATGTCTGCCAAGGAGACTTCCAGTCGTTGCCGACTTGTGCTGATTCACACCAGCAGACTGAAAATGAAAACATTTGTGCTAGCTTCCAGCCCTTGGAACTGCTCAGGCCCATTAATACGACAGTAGTACAGGCTGATTTAAACGCTGCAGTGAGGAATTAAAATGGCAGAAAGGAAAATCCTTTTTTATGTTCCCTCAACAGCCCCACGTTAAATCATATTTAGGGTTGTGAGACAGTGTTTCTATTTTCTTTGTACAGAGGTGCCTTATTATTTCAGAGAAAATACCTTTTGTGCACACCGGACCAAAGGAAGAAAGTTTTTCACCATCAGTTACTTTAAACCTGTTAAGTGTTCAGCCATCCTTCAGTGAGTTTCTCATTGACCTAGCACTTCATAAATGCTGCCTAAGCATAGAAGAAAATGCGCCAGATTTCTCTATGCTGTCAGCAGGGTTACTGGAGCAAGGGTAGCATCCCAGGCTTAAAGAAGGCACTGCTTCTCCTCACATATTTCCTGATGGCTGCCTGCTGTGATGGACCCCAGGTTAACTAATATAGCTGAACTTATGGGCTCATGAGTAACTTAAGCATTTTGTGCAGCGTCAAAGGGGGTGAGATGCTTTTGACCGAAAGTATTCTGCTCAGGGCCTGAGTTGAGGCTGCAGGAGTGCCTTGGTTGTACAGCAGCATGTGTACTTACGCCTGGCACTCACACCACATCATATCATGCTGGTGAATCTGGAGCCATTAAGGATTTTGAGGAGCTGCTGTTGTGCATCTCTTCATCTGCATATAAAACTCAAGCATAGGGATTAATAGGGAAATTGCTGCGAATAGCCTTATTCCTATGCTGCATTTGTAAAATGCTTTGGAAGTAAAATGTTCTTTTTGGGAGTACAGACCAGCAGCATTGTCAGTTCTTGGTGTCTATGTAGAGTGTCATAATTTTTTGTAGGGGAAAGGGAGTGGTGCGTTTTCTCTTCTGGCTAGTGACTCCCTTTCTCAGCCAGACTTTTGGCCGATGCCCTCACACATGCCATTTCTGAGTAGGTGTCGGCTGGTTCACTTTTCTGCTCATTGATGGTATGAGGCTGGGCTCTGAAAGCACCGTATCTTCCACAGCAATGTCTCCCTCTGTAAAACAGGATTAAGTGCTGCTATCCAGGCTTGAGTGCCAAAATAGAGCTCAGCACAGTCCTCCCAGGCCAAGTGAGGCAATTGGGCTCATGGGGTTTTGCAAAACCATGCATAGGAACAGTCCTGAAAAATCCAGTGTTGTTCTGCAGTTAGTTCTGGTATGTTTGGCAGGGATTCAGGTTTGGTTGGGGTTTAATATATTTGTGTTTGTAATGAAGAGGAGATACATATATTCATCACAGTCACTTTTTTCTGTTCAGCTCGTGGCATGGTCACCCCTCGTACACAGACCTACTGAGCTCTGTGTCATTAGTACTGTTCTTTAATGGAGAGAGAAGCATTTTCGTCTTCACATGGCGCACAGCTGCAGTTAGACTCTTCGTGCCTACAGTGTCTGGCAGAATCTGACCTTGGTGCTGCTATTGGCAGAAAATACCCTTTCCAGTTATGCTTCTATGTTAACTCAATTTCAATCATTAGTTGGCTGGTTGATTTTTTTATTTTTTTTAATTTTCTTCTGAAAGCTGGGTTAAAAATCAGGGAAGATCCCATTGGATTTCTTAATGGGAATTCACCACTGGTTCATTCTGTGTTCTTTCTTTATGCCTCTTTTCTAGCTACTGCTGCTACTTAAAGCTGTTTTGCTTAATAGAGGAGGAATGCAGGGATATTTTTCTCCCTTATCCTAGAACTTTCTGGAATTTTATATTAGGACAACAGCCCTGTACTCCAGAGTGGGAGAATAAGAGCCTCAGCTCTTCTTACTGATGAAATGTCAGTATCTGTAGGCATCAGGAGGGGGCAGTGCTTCTTTTATTTTCTTAGAAAATAGTAAGCACTAGCATATCAAAGTTTGCAAGAAGAGAGACTCTTCCCTCATTCTGGCTGAGGGGGCCCCACAGTGGATCTTATATAGGCTTGGGTCAGCGGGGTGGGATGGGAAGAGTTGGTGGTCTAAATCTCCCAAATCTAAAAGAGACATTTTGGGAGAATGGAAAGACTGAACATTTGAACTTGGAACTTGTTTATGGAAGTTTCCCTGAGTCCATAGTGGTTGGAAAGCAATACCTGCTTTTATAGTACAGAAATGTAGCTGTTTCTAGGTCCTCATTATTATTCATAAGACATGTATAATGCTTAAATAAGGCAAAAAAATGATCCCCTAAATAGCTACAGGACTAAATGTTTATCTAAAATTACAACAGCATTAATCATCCTTTTTTTCCCCTAATCTATTTTCCTAGACTATTTTGAGGATTGTGGTCCTTGGCATATGGGATTACATTGAAAACAAAATAGAGGTAAGCACTCTTACTTTCATGCTGTTTTCCAGGCAGTCACAGTAATATTAAGAAGTGTTTTGGGTGGCTTTGTTATAGACCCAACACAATACAGTATCTTTTAACTCAGATAAATATGCTATGCATGTTCTTCTCATTATACACATGTACACGTAGCTGTGTGATGCAGTCCCTTTTTCTGTGAGAGACTCAGAAGAATACAGTATTTGGAAATACTTTACTAAGGGAGAGATTGTGGGGTTTTTACTCTTTGTGTCTATTTGTTTTGTTGTTAGAGCTGTGATACTGCTACTCTGAGGTTATGAGCAATATGAGTAAAAATTGTCAGGTGACTTGTGTAAACTCATTTCCGTAATCATGTTGAAATTAGAACTGGTTGAAAAATTGTGTGTAGTTTTCTACAAAAACTACCTGTCTTTTGTTGTGAAATTATTTTTTAGTTAAATTGAATTATGATGAAGACTCCAATTTTGTGCCTCAAATTAAAAATGAGGTGGAATGTGTGTAGTGTTGCAGAGGCAGATAAGGAAATGCATGTGTTACAAGTAACACATCATCCCAATCTGAGCAGAAATCTGGAGTTGGGGAAAATTAAAAGCTCTTTCTTGATACTGTCTGCTAAACTAATACTGCACAGGATGCACCAGAAGAAAATCTGTGAGTCTGGAGGATTGCACATTTTTGCAATAAAGTTGTAAATCTTTTAACTTCTTTTGCTAAGAAACTGAAGTGAAACTTAAATTATTGATCCAGAGATTCTTATTATTGAGGCTAAATGGAGCAGTTTGATAATTTATTCTGGTAATTTGGAATCGAGTGAGATTGTTCACTGCCCATCAAATTGTGGCAGTAAAAAGTGTTTCTTTTTAACACACTGGATGTTATGCACAATTTCAGTGTGTGGTGCTTATAAAATCTATGTCCTGCCTGTTTATCCAAACCATTAGTCCGTGGTCTTTGGCAGCTGGGAAGGGTCTCAGAAGGAATGAGAACGTGGTATTCTGTTCTACCGTGCTAGGCAAGTGTAGGCCAGACACAACACTACTGCCAGTTTGCTCTGAAATGCATTTAATCATGCTTTTCTGTCTAATACTTTGCACAATTGCCTTTTCTGATCTAATCCCAATGTACCTAATGTCATACAAATCATTCGGAGTAGTCCCAGTTGTCAAAATCCTTGAAAACCTAGCTGCCCAATAAAGGTGAGAGCAGGGAGTCTTTCCGTGGTGATACACAGCCATTCCCGTGCGCATTGGGTAGTCAGGATGTGGCCAAGAGCCATCAAGTCCCTTTGCTCCATCTTTTTCTACTTGTCATCTTGATCTCTTCATTTGGACAGTAAGATCTATGGGCAGGGACTGTATCCTTTTTTTGGGATGACATTCTGTGAAATAACAAGTAATAAATACCAATTACAATAAAACTCTTTGGCTGTAAGCACATTTAGGCTATCACTTCTACTGGGGGATTTTGGCAGTATCTTGAAATAACTTTGTCTCTCCCTGCCCTCCCACCACAGCTTATCTCTCCTCACCTCATAAAATGCACTAAGGAATTCTGTTGTGCTACCTAGAAAGGAAGCAGCATTTCTGGGACCTGGCCACCTCTCATATCCTTTTCAAATATGTGCCATAATTGCATTTCTTTTGGGCAAAGTAGAGCCCTTCAAGGCCCCAAGCAGGAGGTGGCAGGGTTATGATCTTTAAGGAAGGTTTAAAAAAATCTGATTTCTCTCTAGGTATTTGATGGTGCTGTCATAATCTTGTCCTTGGCACCAATGGTGGCCTCAACGGTGGCTAATGGCCCCAGCAGCCCATGGGATGCTATCAGCCTTATTATCACACTACGAATATGGAGAGTGAAGAGGATCATTGATGGTGAGTGGTGATTTGGTTTGTGACTCCAGGAATTACCTGGCAGGCTGGGAAAAAAGAGATTTTAAAAACTATTAAAAGATTGCTTGACACAGCTGTTTCTGTTGTTCTCCTTCCTCTTGCATTTAAAAGCACTGAGCAGAAGAGAGCTATCACTCCCATGGAGGAGAGTAGGTCTCAAGTTCATGACTCTGTTTCCTGTTCCCTGTGAGCTTTGGACTGTATCTCCTGTTCCCTATAGGTTGTTTTTCTCTAGGCACCTTCACATCCCCTATCCTGTAAAGTAAGTGCCCTGACCTGCTTCCTGTCTCTTGCTACCAGATGTGATTCCTGATTGTGCAAAATAATTGCTTCCAATCTGCTTTTCTGATATTTGCTGCACCCTCCCGATTTCCGTACAGCTAGTTCTGTCTCGGGGCTTTCTTTCCCAAGTTTTTTCTGTAATACAATTTTCATGTCAGATTCCCAAAGCATTTTCTTACCGTGGGGGTTTCCTACTGAAGGTGCTCTCTGCAGTGCTGGTGTGCTGTACAGTGCAATAATGAGGCGTGTATCGGTGCTGTTCTGCACAGACCTCTGTGGGGAAGCACGGGGGGAGATACGAAAGCCCCAGCATGTCAAGGTTGCAGAGGGCAGAACCAGCGACTGTGCCTGGAAGCAAGGACTTTGGGGAAGGCTACATTGTGTTCAGTGGTTTCAGGCAGTTCAGTTTATAGGGTAAAGAGGTGGAAAAAGAGTAAGTGAAGGGTCCCTTTGCACGTTGTGTGAAAGATCAGAGTCAAGTTGTTATTTTGGGTTTAGATGCCCAGGCAGCTCTGTATCTGGAGTTGAGGAATGGTTGTAGCCTTCTGACTGAAATGTACAGGAAGAGTTCAGGATCTTGTGTGGCTCCAGAAAACATCAGGAATTGCAGTATGCACTGGACAGCTTTGCTGCTCAGTCTGCTTGCTGTAGTTATGACAGGAGCAAAACTTCCAGAGGCATTCAGAAGACCTATTGAAAACTGGGCTGTAGCTTGAAAAGCAGTAGGATATAAATGCCTTTTTGTTTTTTAAAATATCCTTCTCAGTCTGCTATTTCCGTTGAGGATTTATTTCTTACCACAAAGTCTAGGAATTAATGCTTAGGGCTCTGGAATAGTTATTTTCCTCAGGGAGCCATGCTGTTCAGGTTTAGAGGGGATGGGCCTAACACTAAAGCAGAAAATCCTCCTACCCAGAAATTGAGGAAATCTGTCATAAACACTGGAAAAGATCTGTTATTAGTGCAGCAGAAGCTAGGAAGAGCATGCAGGATGCATTTCAGCTCAGCCAGGCAAATGGAGACCTGACCAAACAAGATCTAGACCCTGCTGCTGGCTTGCATTTCACATGTTAAAAATCATTGCCCAGAAGAAACACTAGTGCTGTTTCTATAAGAAATACTCTAGTTCTCTAGATGGAAGTGAAAGGGGTGACATTCTTTGGCCTGTAAAGGTTTTCCCTCTGATTAAAAAAACCAAATCACAGCTGGGTTACTCTAAGTGCTTATTTGTATTTTCCAGCCTATGTCCTTCCAGTGAAAGTGGAGATGGAGATGATGATTCAGCAATACGAGAAGGCAAAGGTTATTCAAGATGAGCAGCTGGAAAGACTAACCCAGATCTGCCAGGAACAAGGGGTAAGGTTCAGTTACATCTTCATTTATGCATAGCTTGTCGTGGCAAATCAGTCTGTGTACTTTGCTGCAAGCTAAGGTTCGACAAGTATCACTAAGACTCCTGCTGTAAGGTGACAGGCCTCGCTGTTGAGGAGGTGTTAGCTGCTACCAGGATATTGTCAGCATGCCATCTGTCAAACAGCATTTGTCTCCCTCTGCCGCTCTGCTTGTGTTTTTTAAGGTGGGGAAAATACATGTGAGGCAGAGAAGAAGAATGCTTCCAGTGTGTAATTTATTGAATGAGTACTGATAGTTTGACATAATACTAAGAACAGACAAAAGTCATTGCTAGTGTTGGAGACTGCAGCTGTATTAAGGCCATATTCCCAGGAAAAGTATATGCAGTTGAAAGTTAATGAATCTCCCTGCTTTAAATGCAGAAGGTGGCTTCCCTGTAGGTCAGGCAGAGACTCCTTTGACAGACTCAAAATGTTGCCATAGAAGCTTCTAGTTGCTGGAAGCAAGTTAAGATTTAAGACTCTTCCCAGGCCCCTAAATATTCAGTGACTCAGTCTTGAGATAAAGGAAGGTGAAGCTTAAAATAGCTCCAACGCGTATATTTACATGAAAAAGGTGTAAAACCACTGTTTGGGCAATGAGCCAGGAGTTTTTGCAGTTTGTCTGATGTAAATGAGTTCTTGAATAACCTGCTTTAAAGTAAAAACCAGGGAGGTGTGTTGAGGCTGAGGCTAAGCGAGGCATACAGGTGACCATCAAACAACAACAGAATGATCCCCCAAGTGACTTGCTGCTTGTTTCAGTTGTGAGGGTAACTATGAGGTGTCCAAATAAAGCTTCAGCTCCCACTCCCCACTTGGGGTAGGTGCTTTTCAAATACAAAATGAGGAGACCTGGAAGTCTGAACAGCTCAGTCAGTCAAAAAGGCGAAGGGCCTGAGCAGCCAGGAGGGAGAGGCAACTTGTCCCAGAGCTGGCCAGCTGTCCAAAAGGTGCATGACCTGAAGCAGGGATTTAGGTGCCCATCTCCTATGAGGAACCTCAAATAGTTGTGAAACCATCAGTATTTAGGTCCCCAAATGGCTTTTTAGATTTACTTCCAGGTCTTCTGGATCTGAAGCTAGGATTCTGAAATGAAGTCTTGGTGGTGTTAGGTTGCCTTGCCTGTGTGATGAGTTTGGAAGACCTGTTAACAGTATGTGTCGTACTCTTTCTGAGTCTTTTATTAACCATGATAAATTTCTAAACCTTAGGCTTGACTTCTGTCAAAAATTAGTTACTTTAACCTGTGTAAGTATCTTCAGTGGCAAAACTGCAGTCCTCTTCATCACAGCTTTGCGCCGTGATGTTAGGTGATTCATGGTTCTGTCATGGTTGTGAAACAAGCAGGGAAATGGTATATACCTCCTTTTACAGGGGAGAAGTCATCCTTTGACCAAACGCATTAGGCAAATCCACGATTTCTTGAGTCTTGTTGCAGTATTTTGTCTCGGACCATGCTGTTTGGCTAAAGTTCTTGACAGTCATAAATTTGAAAACTCATTTTTAGGAAGTGTATTATGCAGCCAGATAACACTCAGTCTCTAAACAATTTTTGATGTTATTATTTCATAGTTTTTGAGTAAAGATGGGCTTGTTATCCCAAGTGGGGTTCAGGAGCAGCTTTTGCTGCTTTCCATTCTGAGCCATGTGCTCCTTATCTGCGTGCCCGGCTTGCAAAATGTCCGAGCGTAGTAGCCCTAATCGGAGTTGCGATGGTTACAGTATAGATGTACATCAAGCACAAAGAAATACGGCATTGGTAGATGAGTAAATATGTGAAAACAGAGCAGATTCTCTCCTAGCTTTTAAGTGTCATCAGCTATGGAAAAGTATGGACTACAGAAAAATTTCAGCATACTAATCCCTCTTTGTTTTACTGTCTTGACTTCGTGCCAAACAAATGCCTCAGCTCTATAGTAAGAGGCAAATGTACTAATTTGCTACAGTTAGCAACATAAGACATTGACACAGGTACTGCATCCTTCTTTCATAAATTAATAGCTTCATAATTCAGTCAAGAACAAGCTGTCAGCATTATAATATTCACATTAACATTGTGTACAGTATCTGGTGGGAAGAATGTCTCCTAATGGTATTTAATGTCTAAAATTCTGCCAGGTTTTCACCTTTTAATTTGATCATCTTTCCCGACCTTTTTAAAGGATTGCTTGTTTGTGGAGTTTAAATGTGCGTGTCTGTCTTCGAGTGAAGGCTTGCCCACAGCAGTCTGGCTGCTCTCACGTCTGGAGCGCCAGCAGGGAGGGATTCCACTTTGCCTTGTCTGTGTGGTGCCACCTCAGGCACAAGCAGACGGGATAGCTGGGAGGTGCCCATAGGGGTTGACCCCAGATACATGCTGGAGCACACCAGCTCAAGTAGGAAGAACGGGCAAGCCACCGTGGCTGCCTACATCCCAGCAGTGGATGTAGATATTGATTCATCCTGAGGTTGCATCTTAGTGACCACACTTAGGACCTGCATCTGTTTAATAATTATAGACAGTGTTGAAAATATTCCTGTTAGATTTCCCAGCACTTCCTTTTCTGAGATCCTGTGTTCGGTTTCTTAGTGCTTTGCCACTTCTCAGGCAACTGGCATTGAAATTCTCAAGGTCTGGCATCTTCTGCAGGTGAAATTATTTTGAAAGTTTCCAACAAAAAAGTCATTATTTCTGAAGAGGAATTGGGAAATGAAATTAGCCTGTTTGTTTGGGATTTAAAAATAATTGGTGGCCAGTTCTCTGAGAAGTCCCATGCCATCCTGTTCTGAAGCTGGTACTTAATACTTGACAGGCAAAAATGGAGTTCCTGCTTTAAAAATAGAAGAAGGAAAGATGCAACTTCCCTTCATTGTACTTTTTGAATTCTGTTTCTTTTGTCAGTTGTATATTTTTTTGGCCAGTGATAGGGTATCACATCTATAAAGTACATTTCCATTCCTGAGTGACGTTGGAGATGTGCTTTTGCAAAAGTGAAAATCCTTTCCAGATGTTGATTTTTGGCTAGCCATACATCTGAAAAACAGAATATATTTTACAAATTATAGTTGCACAGACCACCGCTTTGTTCTCTGTAGTACCCCACTGAAACTGTTTGAATACTTTGCTGTTTTATTTATTCTTCGTTGGCCCAGAAAGAACTCATTAAAAGGCACTGGAACATGAGGACAGTCAAGGCGGAAAGTACTGAAAGGGCTGCGATGGCTGGATAGGACTTCACAAAATGCAAGAAACATTAACAGTCACAGTAACAAGGATTTCTAAAAATTGGTAGAAGTAAAAGGTAAAGTCTCATTGCAATTACTATCAAAAATGTGAACAGAATATATTGCTGACAGTATTGTTTTATCAGAATAACTTAACTGAAATTGCAAAACAAAGTTGCAGTGTTTCATTAACAAGGCAAATTCCAGTCAAGGAAGGTAGCTTTTTTCCTCTGGTATCACCTGTAAAGGAATTTCCATTTCTGATAATAGACCTACTTATATGATCTCTTCTGCTTAACTTTCATAAGAGTGATTCATCTGAGTACAGTCCAGCCAAAACTATGTATTCAGCCTTATCACAAGAGCTCCTTTTCTGTCAGCTTCTATAGAATTGGGTTTTTCATCATTCTCAAAGCTGCAACAACTATGGAAGCTATAATTTCTTTTTTATCTTGGAATATAATTTGTACAACAGCTGCTAGTTTAATGACAGGGCTATTTAGCTGGTAAAATTACCTATCGGAAAAATAACGTATGTTATCCTTTTGCAATAATTTTAATTTATTTCTAACTACCAGTCATTTTCTTGGTGAATGGAAGGCAGCCAAGGTCATCCTATGTTTCGTTCTGCCCATAAATCATTAGTTTGCAACTGTCTTCTGATTTTTATTGTTACCAACAATGGCTAAGCTAATGGAAATAAACACTGGATTGTGTCCCAGTGGCAGATGAGTTTTAGGGCAGGGCGTTCTGTACAGACAGCACTAATAGAATTGAGCAAAGTTATTGCTCCTGCATTAGACACGAGTAAGCTTCTGGCTAAAATGTTCATTGATCTCTCTGAAACTATGTCAATCATACTCTGTTGCTAGACCATTAAAGGGAAGTACTATATGATTCACTGCTAAGTCCCTTTTTGAGTCTTAAATGCATGTTATAAAATATCAGATAGGATGAGTGGCATGTTTTATAAAACCAGACATGTAAACAGAGATGTTATCTAGAGCTCTGGGCATGTCTCTGTCATTTTACCTGCTTATAAATAACCACCTAATGCATTATTTGAGTGAGGAAGTGCATAAGTATGGCCTGCAGTTCTTTCTGGTTTCTTTCCTGCCAAAATATTGCTAAGTTTGTGCTACAAGAGGATGTGTACCAGATTTTGAAAACACTAAAAAGTTTAAATTTACCATCAATGAACCTTCACATCATGCTGGATAATCTAGTTACTCATTCTTATATGAGACAGTCTATCTCTCCTTTTTTCTTAGTAATAAGTCTATTTTCACATTAGCCACATGTATGACACCTTTATTGCTGTCTTCACCTCACCTTTGCAGGAGGTTGTAGCCAGGCTCTTCTCAGAGGTGCACAGTGATAGTACACAAGCTTGGAATGTGCAGAATTCCTATCAAGTATAAGAACAAACATTTTCACTAGGAGAGAATGGTCAGGCACTGGACCAGATTGCCAGGGAGGTTGTGGTATATGCAACCTTGGAGATATGCGGAACTTGACAGGACAGGCTTTTGGCAATGTGAGTGTGATGGGTTTACCCTTGGCTGGGAGCCAACCCCACGCAACCATGTTTGCTCACCCTCCCCCCTCCTGAGGATGGGGGAGAGAATTAAAGGGGTAAAGGGAAAAAAGGACACGTGGGCTGAGATAAGAACAATTTAATAACTAAACTACAATAATATTGAAAATAATGGTATTTACAAATGAGTGATACACCATGATACTGCCCCCCACCCGATA